CATCGCCAAAATTTTTAAAAATTTGTCGCTAATCGAAGGGGCACCCAATTCTACACTAGAGCCGAATAAATAAGTAACGGTGACTAAAAATAGGAAGTTCGTTAAAATAGGTCACTTTAGGTATCTAACGGAGCAGCTCAGTTTAGCATTAAAACACTGTTTAAAACAAAGCATTCTAAACTTTCTCTGACCCAATATTTTTCCCTAGCATTAAAAAAAAAGTGCACAAAACTAATAAGTACATTTCAAAAATTAAAAAGGGACACAAATACTACTAATGAAAAGTTATGAGACAGTTATCGCACACATCTTCGCACAGAATGATTTTCACTCAGACACATGAAACTGAAGTTTAAATTATTCACACTAAAGTTTAAATACTAACTATCATCATTACCATAAATAACAATGCACAGGTTAAATAATTAATCACGTTAACACATATGAATTATTACTTGAAAAACAACATTATCTGACATTCTCAGTTAATCTTAAGATAAAATTAAAACTAACTACTCAATCAGATTTTCAGATGAGACTCCTGTTTACATTACTATGCATAAGATATTTAAATGTTTACCTTAAGCATCAACTACCATTAAAACTGAACACTATATCTAAACCTAATACTTTCATTACAGCTGACGTTACAGATCTCAGGGAGTTAAATATTGTTCGTATGACGCTTCACAATTTAACCATGTTTACAGATCACTAATATTTTCGCATCCAAGCCACCTGTATACTTCCAATTTCCAATAACATTACAACACGACATTTAAGATTCCCGAAACCGGCATAGCTGTTGCCATTCCTTGGTAACCGTAATTCATCGCCGAAAATTTTCACATCTTGAAACATGGAAATAGCACGTAACAAAAATACAAATTCGAAGCTTGGACGTAGTGTCTATTCTATTAATCTATAGACAGCGCTAAAAATTCGTCTGCAACGAAGAATAGCCCTGATCTGAGATTTTCTACAAAGATCTCGAGTATAATGCAATGGTTCATCACCGGAGTACCTAGGAGCAGTGACCTTACCTCTGTCAAAACTAAATTATTGGAAAAGTATCAACATAAATACAAAATTAAAAGTTCTAAGGTATATGCAAAAGTCTTTAAAAGTAAAGAAAATCTCATAAAAGTCACAAGTCTGTAATCATGTATATTGTGCAAAAGGTAAAAATATTGAGCTGGTGACACGGGATGAACATGAGAAAATACGAGCACAGGTAATTAGGAAAACATAAGGCTCATAACACATACTTTTAAATAAACATGAAACAACATCAGAAACTGATACTTCAATGTAGTCAAAGTTCTAGCACAGAATTTAAATTATATGCATATCGAAAGATGGCAAAAGGAGTCAAAAATGCAAAACGTACAGTTTCCCTTTATACTAGATAAACTTCTATTAAAAGTCTCTAATATGTTAAAGAAGACAAAAGTTTTGTCTATGGGAGTAGGTGTAGCACGAATTTCATCCAATCGATTCGTGATTATTTTAATTACATAAAAAATAGAAAATTCACTAAAGATTTTTACTTCACTGATGACCTGAAAAAAGTCCTTAAAAGTAGAGGAGATATTATTTGTAGAGTTTTTATTCTGACTTCTAGTGTTGGGTTTAGATGCTTTAGGGTGCTGTGGAAATTGTGTGTGGTCATTTGTATTGACATCCTTTCGAATTTTCCTATCATTACTAAGTGATATGGTAGAATTGTTTCGACTAATAGTGTCACTTTAAATCCTGGGGGGAATATTTCCACCATATTGGCTCTGAATGAGTTCTGGTTCTTAACATTAGGGTTCTTTGAATTACTTGGGTTTTGGGGACAAAAACGAAAGTTGGCTGCGTGGTCCCGAACACAGTTATAACCGTTCGATGAATTCTGCTTTTATCCGCAGTTTTATGCAGCAATGAACACTGAACACGCGTCGGAACAAGTTTGCACCCCTCCGATGAATGATAGAAATGTTGGCAATTATAACATTGAGCAATACCACCCTTGTGTCTCTATGGTTCTATTGTAACATCCAAACATAGTAAATTACTGATGTCATAGATTTTTTATCAGTGCTCTCAACGTTAGCTAATTGCACTTGAAATAGAAGTAATGGAACACAAGTTTTAAATCTGAACATTAGGTTCACTTTAACAACATTAAGGCCTTCTGAAATCAACTCATCTTTAATTTGCTCCTTAGAGCAGTCAGAGGGTAACCCTCTAATAGTAGCCTTCATTGGTTTAACACTTTTTTTAGCATGTAGTATCAAGGAGGTTAGAATAGAAGGAGGGAAGGTTCAACTCAAACGGTGAAGCTCGGCGACCATGTTCCTATTATCGCTGTGACTTGTGCAAGGAAGTCTGTAATTGCAATATTTTTGTTTTCTTTTCTTTTGAAGCATGTCAGCTTGCATTGCATATAGATGCACAAATAGATTTTCGAAAAATATTCCTAAGATTACTTTTCATTCGTAAGTATTGATTTTCTTTTTCTATGTAATTTGATAAATATGTTAAAAAATATCAAAATATAAAGTACTTAATAATAATCAAAATACCTTAAATACATTTTAATGCTTTAACTGGGACCATGTGGAAAGATGTATCCAAAAATTGATATATAATTCATCTGGGTTTTGTAATGATTATTTTCAAAGTGGAGAAAGCTTATTTTGAGGGCTGTGTGATCACCGAGGCAAGCGGCAGCACGCTCCGTAAAAAAGTGAAAATTTTTCGTTTCCTCTTGGTGATTATCAATTAAATTTCTTTGAAAAATGTTTATTTTTCCCCTATAAAACCTATATCATTCTAATGAATTTCGGCTCCGATGTTGACGAGAATAAAACAGCGGACAATGTAAGGATATACTCCAAAAGCCTGGAATTTTAAGATAAGTACTTTTCTTTCATCTAAACTAAATCAAATTTCTATAAATAAGTGCCTTTAAATCAATAAAATCTTAATTTTTCATCAGTTTAAAGCATTAAAAAATACTTGAAATTGCTCATTGCTTGTGGCTTCCCTTGTGTGTACAATCAAACTTCGCCAACGGTTATCATTTCGCGTCTGACGCCAGCGTTATCAGTTCACGTCTGTCAACACTTACAAAGCCCTTGAAGGAATCTCGAGAGAGGGAAAATTTGGGGATGAGAGGGATAATTTGGGGCATCGCGCTATTTCCCTCTCGGATCTTCTGGATTCTCCCTTTCTTTCTAGATCGCTTGAATATAGTTTCGCCTTTAAATAATATTATACCTCACCGATTTTTTCTCATACTGTTCTTTGCTATCTGTTAAATGTCCATATGTAAGGGATGGTTTATTCTTCACCGCCTCAAATGAATTTTTAGAACTATGAGCTTATATAAAATAACAGTGTGCCTCATTGTGTTATATTAACATTATTTAACTAGTAATAAATTATGATAGTAAAATAATTAATCTTGTAATAAATTATGATAGTTAAATTAATAAATACTGTTTAATTTGTGTTTTTAATACATATACTAAGTAATTTACACACACACACATATATATATTATTATTATTTGTTATTTATTTATTTATTTATTTATTTATTTTTGGGTGTATGCGGTTGTGGTCTTGTATTGTATATGGTTCTATGTTGTTTAGTCTGCTGCTGCTTTTTTGAAAAATGTATGAAAATGTTGGAGAATGAAAAGTAGCATAAGTTACTTTGGTTAAATTAATATATACTTTTGTTTGATGACCTTTGTTGATATCTCAGGATGCAAGCGTACATATTACTTTATATTCCATGCTAAATACCTTGATACGAAGCATTTTAACACCGTCAATATTTGTTTTTTCCCCAGTAACACATCTATTCACCATTACCAAACACACTCACTACACAAACACACCTGTGAGACACTATTTATTGTAAATGAAGACAGTTTCTTCTCCTTTTAACTACACTCATGGAAACAATCGTATTTTAGGATATTTTCTACTTCTTTTCCTTTTCTTTCTATAGGCCCTTTTTTTTTTTTTTTTTTTTTTTTTCCCTCTATTATTTTTGGGCCATTTATTTTAAATTTTATTTTGTCCGATCTTTTCTTCCTGGCCTTTTGAACTCGTACAAGATGTACGAAGTTCCTTTTTACTCTCCTCAAATACGAAATTGCCCCTCTTTCTATATACCTTTCCTTCGCACCTATGCTTGATTTTTCGCCCATCGGTGCAGAAAGACTTAGCGGATGCAAAACAAGACATCTGTCTACTTTGTCTGTCTGTCTGTCTATATAATTCATCTTAATTCAAGGCAATTTCTTTTATTTCTTGATGCGCGCGCCACTCATTGGCCTTGCGACTAATGGTCGCCCCCTGTAGCCACCTTTGACCTCCTGTAACTTGTCATGAAAAATTCAAAGTCTTGCGCCCTCCGGGCTTATTTTTCAAGAGCCGGATAAGTTGCGTGCTGCGCGACACTTCGGCAATAACCGTGCAGACTAGACTAGACTAGCAATTTCTTTGAGATTCATAAATATGAAATCACTGAATTCACATAAATCTGTTTATTTTATTAATATTCATTTTCTTGTTGTTATAAGGTTTTTTGGTTGTGAAAAGCATCTATTTAAAACTTTAAATTTTTTTTTTTTTTTAAAAATGCAACCTGTGACTATATTTTTAGATAATTATCTGCTATTAATTTCAGGTTAAAATTATTTTAAATAATTCTTTAATAAATTACAATATTGTGAATAAATCAGAAATATCACTTCTTAAAGGAAAAATTGGAAATATCACTTTAACACTTTTTTTAGCATGTAGTATCCAACAGGTTGCTAATAAAACCTAAACAAATTCTTGAAATATGCAGAAACATCATTTTTAAAGGCTTCAATGTTATGCACATGCATTTGGATTTCGAACTATTTCTGAATGCTTTTCTGTATGTAGTAAATTACGGATATCATCTTTATATCTTTAAAACAAAACACTAACAATAGCGAAGCATTTCATTATAAATTTAACATATTTTTACAGGAAAATACATGCACGGAACAGCTTAAAAACACGTCTGCTTCTATTCTAACCTCCTTGATACCATTGATATCTAGGTATCTCCGTAATCTCACGGTGATGATGCACTAGATTTAATTAGAGGAATGACCATAATCCGAATTATTCCTGGTTGTGGTATTTTATCCTTATTTGCATAATTAGCGCTATCAACATTTGCATAGCTAGACCGAAGTCAAGAGGTGCGAACTTTTGTCATATAATCTGTATGAAGGCATCTGATTGATTATGGAGATTCCTAGGTTTTTGCCTAAAAGTATACAAAATTACAAGAAAATACAGGGGGAAGGGAAAAAAGTGCTTAGACTACTGTCATTATAATTTTTTAAATCTTCGTGTGCTCATTATGCGCGCGCATCCCCTATGTGATTCACGTGTGTTTTTAACTTTATTCGGCTAGAGGGAATATTTAAACTCATTTAAAAGTGTTGAGTATGCTTTTGTGAGATTTTACAAATTCTGTTAATTTTTGAAAACTGACATTTGCAGTGATGGCGGGCTCTCCGAAATGGACAATAAAAAATGGGTCTGTAGATGAAATTAAAGTGAATATATCATTGAATAAAACTATGGATACCACTGAGGACAAAAACAATCAAATGAGCACAGTTTATCATCCCTCAACTACAGCAAGTAAAACGAAGACTAAAGCAAAATGTTTTCCCTCACAAAATGGAAAAAAGACGCTGAAAATTGGCTTGAGGAAAGTCACTGATATGAGGTAATAAGTTATTTTTGCTCATTATTTGCTTTGTTAAGTAAGAACATAAATTCGTTTTTCTTTTTATGTTGAAAATTCCTGTGTGTCTACTATGAAAATATTTTGCGTGCATGAAATTTTAGAGTTAAATTTGTCTGTTGTACCCGAATATCTTTTTCCAGCACAAACAACTGACAAAAACCTCGCGTTTCGTAAGAATTTATGAAATTTATATCATTCTGCTTTATTAAATTTCTTTGTGAAGCACTTATTTTAATAATGACTGTATTTAATCGGTTCGGTCGTTCATAATAGCTAAAATCAAATACTTCATGGGCGATATATATACTTTAGGATGAAAGCGGTCATTATAACACTCCACACGTTTTTATAGTGACACCATGCATTCTGAAGAAAATAAGATATAAGATAAAATAAGGAGCAGTCACTATTATGAAAGTGGAGTTGATATGTTTTCATTAGTCTGGATTTTGTTTTCGTTCATTATTGTGATAGAATGTCCATTATAAGAAACGGTGATTGTATTCAGCCATAATTTAAAATTGTCTCATAACTGTTAAAGATGTAATGTAATACTTAAATTACTGTAGTACTATAATATATATATTTCTGTTTTAAATGCAGTTTTACTCAAGTGTACTCAAAATATATACTATAGCATATAGTTGTTGCTTTTCTAAAAGCTGAATCTAGTTTTTCCAGTGCCATTAAAAGTCAGAATACAATCAAAACAAGACACTTATAAAAACTTGCATTATTTGCTATAATTCGTTCAGTTTTCCACATGTATTTGCAAATGCATTCAAAAACTTCATGGTATCTTATTTTAGCTTCATAATGACAACTTCATTGTAATTTTGACTCTGAAAGCCACTAAATTTCTTGTTCAAAATTTTACCATTTCGTTGAATTGTACCTAAGCTTGTTTAAAATTTTTATTTATTGAACCTCGTGCTGAAATTTTTTATTTAAAAGTAACGAGTTAAAAATAGCTTTAATATATTTGTAAACTACAAAGATTTACATGTTTTTCTTGAAAAATACCATCTAAAGTTTGTGTGCATCGTGCATGCTGAAGTGCTTAATATGCCATTTAGATAAGTCTTACTGGTTGAGACCTGTTTAAATTAGTTTTGAATAAGTGATACTGTAACTGTTATATACACAGTGTTTATCTATTTGAAAGTATAGACTGACCATATAGAAATCGGCATCACGTTATTTTGAATAATTAGAGTTCTACTGTACTGAATAAACTGCATTTAAAATATGTGTATAGAGATACTTTTTTTTCTTTGTCTTCATGTAATTATGTGATTAATGATAGTTTTACTCTAATTAGAAGAACCTAGGTATTTCTAGATGTAAGGTTTGAGCTCTTTGTCATCCTTTAACAAAAATATTTTGAATGTTCCAATATTTTTTTAATAAGATTCCTTGAAGTTTCATCATATTGTTGTAATAAATCCCAGAATTCCTAGTTATGGCTGCTTGGTGAAGTCGGTGGCATTTTGCTATCACATGTTGAAGGTTTGAGTTTCCATGCTGTATTTTTTTTCCCTTGTAGTTTCTTCAGTGTCACTACAGGTTGCAATAAGTTTTAAAAGTTTATGAGAATTGCTTTTTTTTTTTCAGTATGTAATGATAGGTATTTACAAATATTATATTGACTGTGCAAAGTTGAATCAGCATTTGCATATTAGTTTAACCATCTTAAAAGTTGCCCGATTTTCAGAATGTTCCAGACTCTGGCAACCAAGCTTGTGGCTTTAGGTTTTGACAAGTATCATTACTATTCTTCTATGCATTCTTTTCATTGCATTCCAAATTCTAAGTTTTTAATCATGATATTTTTGGATCAAGTTCAGTTTTAAAATGTTATGGAATTTGCCTGCAGCGAAAATTCAAGTAAATGAAAATAACATAAAACCGGTAAAGGGAAAAATTGCTTTGAATATATTCCTAATACAGTTGCAGTAGCTGAATAGTTAAGACTGGTGAATATTGGTAGTTCAAAACCTAGATGAATTTGATGGCTGTATGGTTGATTTTTTCCGATGTGTAATGTGAATATGAGCCAGTTATGTGTAGAAAGTCTCCCATGAAGGTATCCCTGTCTTTAAAGAACCTGAACCTTAATGTGATCACCATGAAATTTCTGTCAGAATAAAACAAAAATATGCTTGTATTGTAAATATGCAAGTATATTGCTTTAGTAATAAATTCCTAATTAAAATCTAAAATATGCATGTGATAAATATTTACTGTATATATTATGTAAATTGTTACTGTTTTTCTTCTATAAAAATTCAAAGGTAATTGCATTAATATGCAAGTACCTTTAAATCACTATGAGTAACATCTAAATGGTATAAAAAACCAGCTTATCTTAATTTTGATATACTGAACAAGAATATGTTTGACAAACTGAACTAGTTGAACTTCAAGCTAGTTTAAAGATCAGAGACTATTTAACTAGATTGAGCCATAGCCATGAAGTGTGATGTTTATCATTCTCAGACTGTTCGACTACATAAAAATATGTAATTTTGTTGCAATATGCATTGTATCTGCATTTATTAGGCCATTAGTTTTTAGTATTGATGAAATATAATTTAAATTTATTGACCTTTTTATTTGCAAATGTAGATATTTATGTTATGCTTATAAATTTATAAAACAGTTATTGCTTTTATACTATGATTTAAATGCACATTTTAAAGTAATCTGTTTAGATACTTACATATTACACTGCTAACCATGAAAGTTGGTGGAGATCCTGCCAAAAGAGCCGACTTCTCCTTTTTTAATAAAGAACCAGTATTTGACCCCACTTCATTTTTATGCTTTGCAAAAAGGCTCTCGTTTGTTTCTGTTATTTAGTAGAATTTAATCTCTGAATTTAAAGGAAGCTCTATTGAAAATGTTCAAAATTTTAGTTGTTCGAGTACAGACATTAACCCTGTAAGCAGCAAGGCCGTATATATATATGCCCCAGAATTTTTTTTGTGATATCTGTTAGAACATGTATATGCGTGCATATTTAAACATGTCAAAGAAATTAAGGCAATATATCAAAAGAAAGCAAATCCAGGTATGAAATACCAGAAGAGTTTTTACATTAAAATAAAAAAATAAAAAAAAATAGTTTGTTCTCGTAGTAGTTTTGGGAAATTTGTGCTTTCTTAGCGAAAACCGTGACTGCTCAGAGGGTTAAGTACATTAAAATTCAACTACAAAACTTCTTGCGGATAATTGTTCCAATAGGTTGTTCCTTTGTCAGCTATATTCTGCTGGCTATGCCATGACCATCAAATAAATGTTTTTGTTTATGACTAATCTCATAATTTAAAAAATAACCTATTGCTTGCTGTTCTGTAAAAAATGAGTCCCGAATTTTAATCTTTTTCCTTCTAAAATGCAACAAAAAATTCGTGCCTTGAAAGATGTAAAAAACGTGTTGTTTTCATTAATTGTGGCTTATAATCATGTCTGCAGATGATGAGTGATGGTTATAAAACACATCTGGTACCCATGTCTGTCTGTCTGGGAATTAGTTGTATACAGTCAAAAGTCTTTAATCCGGACTCGTCGGAACTTCGGCGATTCCGTATTATCGATTTTTCCGGATTATAGATCATCAGTTCAAATCTGGTAAGATGGCATGCAGAAATTATAAAATTAAAAATATGAAACTGCAATTTATGAAATAAAGAGCAATTATGATCTAAAGGGTATCAAAATTTGCGAAAAAAAAGCTTTATATTTATTTGTTTACTTTATTAAACATTTCTTTCAACGTGCGCATGTGTAAAGCATACATTATGTATAGTCAAAATTAAAAAATTGCAACCAGAAAACTATTTGATGTATACTCATGATATTTATAATGACAAGGAATTTGATTTAAATCATATCAAAGACGGAATACATCGAGATTAAATACTACATTTAATAAGGAATTATAAGCTGAATAAAATAAAAACATCTGCCCTGAAGATAAAGATAGTGCTGACAGATCAACTTCCAGTTCATTGCGTGCCGCGCCAACCCTTCCCCCGGTAGAGCAGCGTGAAATTGATAAACAGATTTTGGAATAGTTAGAGAACAAAGGATATGCCTTTATCCATTTTTTGCAGCAATTCCACTTTTTGTTTGATGGACATCGAAAAATACTTTTGCTTTGACAGCTCCAGCATTGGAAATTCTATTTGACATAATCGAAAGTTCAAGCTTACTTTTATAAAATTGCTCTAACAGTCTGCAAAAAATAATAAGCCGGATCCAATTCAAAGATTAAGGAACAATGCAATCTACAACATTAACTGAAATAGATAATTAGATAATTTTAGCTTATAACGTACGTTATACATTAAACGTGCATGCGTAAACATATTATGCGCATGCGTGAACGCATTATGCTTTGACGCATGCACAGAAAGTTTGTAGCTTTGAGGTCCGGATTAATGACTTTTGACTGTATTCGGAGAATATTAGTGTTGGTGAGGAAGGGGTACAGGCTCGAGTGGTAAAATAAACAGACATGTACTGTGAAAAGAGGAGGGAAATGAAAATGCACATAATAAAAGTTATGTAGAAGGAAGCTGGCGAAGAGCTGCAGGCTTTCATAAGATTTCCTGAGAAATATTTACATATGTCAATACGTGGTGCTATGAAGCTTCATAGTACATGCAGAAAATTTTTTAAATTATGGTAATAGTCTCAGCATGCTGACATTCCTAATGCCAGGATATAAGTTACGAGGGTAAGTTGAAAAATAAGTTTCCCCTGTCGACTGTGGTCAGAGTTGTGTATGAAAGTCAAAAAATAGAATGAGACATTAAAGATATGACATACCTTTATTTTATTATTCTCGTACGAGTATGTTGAGACATTTGTCATATCGCTTGATAAGCTTCAAAAAGTCCTCGAAGAAAAATTCACGCTTTGCATATGGAAGAAGCTTTGAACTGCTATGGGGGAAAGGCGACACAGCAGGA